GTGGAACTTACAACTATGGATTGATGTACTCTCATGGATGTGAACCAACTCTGGTTACTGTGATGTTGATTGGGCTGGAAGTGTTGATGATAGAAAGAGCACCTCTGGAGGATGTTTCTTCTTGGGAAATAATCTTGTCTCTTGGTTCAGCAAGAAACAGAACTGTGTGTCTCTATCTACTGCTGAAGCTGAATACATAGCAGCTGGTAGTAGCTGTTCTCAAATGATCTGGATGAAACAGATGCTTACTGAGTATAATGTCACACAAGATGTTATGACATTGTACTGTGACAATCTGAGTACTATCAACATTTCCAAGAATCCTATTCAGCATAGCAGGACCAAGCATATTGACATTAGACATCACTTCATCAGAGATCTTGTGGAGGAAAAGGCGATTAAACTGGAACATGTTACCACTGAACTACAACTGGCTGACATTTTTACCAAGGCACTTGATGCTAGTCAATTTGAAAATTTGAGGGGCAAGATGGGTATTTGCCAACATGAAGAAATGTAGCAATTAATTTTGCTTAAAACAAGGGATGAAAGAGATATTTTAGTTAAGTCTACTCTGATTGGGCTAATCATCTGTTTCTCTATTTCTTTCCAAAATTTTAAGAAGTTGAATAGACATTCATATATCTCCCTCCTCTCACGTTTCTACAACAATCTCCAATCTCTCAAACGAAGATTTCACTATCACTGTTACATGTTTTCTAAATCACTCAAAATGTCTCAACTATCCATGTCATCATCCTCTTCAAAGGCGACTGCTTCTTCCGCATCATCCGATCGCGAACCTAGGGCAATCACAAACTGCATAGATTCTGATGTTCTAGAGATAACTCCTCTTCGTGAACTGGCAGCTGACCCCACTAAAGTCAAGAAGCTGCGAACCAGACATGCAAGAAGATCACAAGCCTCTCCATCTGGTAAATCCTCTCAACCATCATCTTTTGTTCCTCCAGAAATAGCAAATAGGGAAGGTTATGTTTATGTTCATCAAGCTATAGCTAGACTAGTCACTAGGATTCTGAATGAGAATCACTTTGTACCTGGCATTTCTATACCTTTGAACCAAGAATCTGCTAGTCCAAATGTTGAAATAAATCCAGATGTCACTCAGAATGTTGAGACACCTGATGACAACATTAAGAAATCTTCTAAAAATCGTGATGATCACCAGAACCCTACTGAGAAGGATGTTGAACCCCCGGTTATTGATGCTGATGAAGACCAGCATAATGTTGAAGATAGTGCCTCCTCTGAAGATAACAGTGCTTGAAGATCAGTGTAGTTGACAAGTTTGCTGCTGGTACCTGTTGCTGTAAATGACTTTTGATTTTTTCTCTCTGTGTTTTTATTATTCCTTTTAGATGACTGTATAACTTAAAAGTACAAGTATCTTTGACCTCTTTATGGCTAAAAAGGGGGAGAAAAGTCTGTGATAATTTTGGTAGAATTAGACTTGGTAGATGTTATTAAAAAATTCGGCTGCTTTCTAATCTCTGATTGTTTAGGGGTTTTAGCCAAAAATTTGCCAAAGGGGGAGTTTGTAAGTGTTTGGTTGTTGGCATCTTTTTTGGTAAAACCAGTTTTGTGAATGTCATGACTGATGTCATAACATTCTGGGATACAAGGTACATTCTGCAGTAAAAGAATGTCATACAGGAGCTACTCAATATGAGTGTTTAGCTGATCATTAAGCAATGATTATATTTATTGCATTCTACCAAAATCAGTGAACAAGATTCTTATTGTCATAACCAATATTAAGACATCCTGTACTAATCTAACATTTGTGCAGATTTGTTATTCTTGAGAATTTTCAGGAATCTGGTTTATACAGTCCAGATCAGATTCTCACGTGGACATTAGGTTAACTCTGCTTAACCCTAATCTGGTTGTTAAAGACATATGACCAAGTCTTGAGGTTAACCCTAATTAACCCTAGCTATTTTCGTGGAAGCCCTATCTGAAGAATAGCTGCCTATATATTCCTCATGAAGACTGTTGGTGAAGGACACTTTTTGATAGAAGATCAATAAGGGCTTGTATAGTTGTAACTACTGTGAGCCAAGCAATTATCATTGTGATAAGTGACTTGGAGTAGGATTTGATTGTAAGGGGTGTGTATCACTCAAAGCTTTGAAGCACGAGTGTTTGTGTCACTTGATTGAAGCTTTGAAGCAAAGTCAAGTTAGGGTTGTGTATCACTCAAAGCTTTGAAGCACGAGTGTTTGTCACTTGATTAAAGTTGTGAAGCAAAATCAAGTGTGTGTACTGAAGAGTATCTTCATAATTTCATTAATCAATAGTTTAGTATCACTGCTGTGATTGAGGGGGAGTGAGCATGAACTCAGGTTTAAGATGAGCTTAGATTGAAGTTGCATTGGGTAGGTCTTAAGTGAAGGAGATAAACTGGTTGGTTTATTCCTAAATTAATATCTCTTATAGTGCATTTCCTCCCTGGCTTGGTAGCCTCCAGAGTAGGTGTTGTTACACACTGAACTGGGTAAACAATTGATTGTGTTCTTTGCTGCTTTTAAAATTACTGTCTTGAAGTGTGTCAGATACGGTGTCATAACATTCACTGTGACATTGAGTATCTGCTGCCAGAATTTCACACTTCATGTTCAACAAAGACATCTACTAAACTATACCCTTTCGAATCTGCAACAAGCTGCAACAGGTCACCATGTGTGTTTATAGACTTAAATTTATGCTGAAATGAGAGTTTTGGATGTTGATAGTACAAACACTTGAACTTTGTATACCCAATAATAAGGATGAGACTTTCAATGTCCTTATAGTTCACAAAATCAACATCAACATTGAAATTCATCTCATACACTAACCCTTCATGTAACATTTGACAGGAAAACTTACAAATCTACCCATATGGTTAATACGTAGCTTCAACCTTTGTTCTTCACTTGGCATGTGAATAACCATCCAGAAGAAATACACATTAGAAATAGAAACCCTAATTTCTAATCACCTGCTTTATTCAACACAATAGACATGAAATCGTAATCGCAAAACATAAGCTTTGTTCAACATAATAGACATGAATATAAATAGAAATGGAAACCTTAATCGTAATACATACATGAATGTGTATTTCGGGTTGTGCTCTTCTCTTCCCTTGGATGTCGTGCTCTTCTGAGTTCTGGGTATCGTGAAATGGTGAAATGATTTATGGTGAAATAGATTGGGTTAAAAGGATTAAGGTATTAATGAAATGTAATATTGTTAAAATGTTATTGACTTAAATTTGCAAATAATGAAAATGGAATTTAAAATGTGATTTTCCATGTAAGCAAGATCACGTATGACTTTTTTTTAACAAATCAGTGTTTCTGAAGAGGGGAAGTAGAGGTAAGGACCAATTTCGTTGATTTGAAAAAGACATGACCAATTTCCGTGAGTTGATTAAAACACGAGAATCAAAAGTGTATTTAAGCCAATAAAATACATCAATTTTCAAACACTTGAAAAGTATGCAATTAAAGAAAACAAAATATATACCTCATCATCCCATATCCTGTAAACGACATGGTCAACAAATCCTGTCAGCACAGACTTGTCTGAAGATCCTCTTGGAAAGACTCCATCAGTGTGAAATGATGGCTTCGTAAACACACGGGTCGTGATGTCAGTATCAATGTGTGGCATGTCATCAACGCACTCAACAACCTCCTCAATTGGCGGCTCCACAACCTGCTCGGTTGCAAGCTCAATTGTGCCCTACACAGCAGGCACAACCTCCTCAATATGTTGCTAAACAGTCGGCTCAATCACAGGCATAGAAGCAGGAGTATGTACCTCCTCAACACTAAACTCTAAGTCCTCAACGACGGAGTGCACGGAACTACATCTGTTTGCCCAGCCATTCGATTCTAGTGAGAATCGGTCAGAGGACGTCGTTCAGTCCGTAGCTCGAAAGCATGTGCCTCGTCAGCCCGGGCCTGAACTTTCGCTCTATTTCCCACCCTACCCGCAACAGAACCATATTTGCCTCCAGTCCTCATTGAAACATAGGGGGAAAAATAGAAAATATGTACTATGGAAATTTCAAAATTTTCGGTATTTTAAAAAAAAATGAACTACTCAAAATTTCAAAAATTTTAATACATACTCGAAATTGTAAAATTTCTAGTTAAAATATTTTGAAAACTCCAATATAATTTACCAAAAACTTTACAAATCTTCCATAAATTTCTTACCAAATTTCAGATGTCGCCCAATACCAAACAATCTTAAAATTACATATAATCATTTATCTAATATCCGTCTACTAGCAATATTAGTAATGATTGAAAAATTAGAGGACAATAGTGGTTATATCTTATTGGAAGTCACGCATTGGGGATAAAGATAGGATCCCTCCTAAACTATTTAGATAACGTCTTTAGTAGCCTTAGTTTTTTGTAAAATGTGTTGTCTAAATTCCCCTAGTCCATCAAACTCCTTTTCTCTTGTCCTTCTCTCCACCATTAAAGAGACCTCTTAACCATTAAAGAGAAGATTGCCGTCATTGAAAAGTTGAAACACATTCTGTTAAAAAAAAGTACTATGATTTTAGCAGTTACCCTTTTCTCACCAGATTATGAGAAAGGATTTACACATCAAGAACGTTTTTTTGAACACATTTTACAGTTAAGTATTTTATATTAACTGTCCCTCCTCTGAATCCAAACTCACAACACTTATGAAGACTTCAAATATAAGTGCTTAAAGATTTTACCGTTAAGAAGCAACCCAATGGGTGCTACAAATTTGAAGTTCTGTCTGGTAGGTAACATAAATAAGTTAAATATGCGGACTCAACAAATAAATGATAAACTGTTCTACATTCTAACTAACAATACAAAGAACCCACACAAGAGAAGAAATTACTAATACAATTTCCCAATGGTCGAGCAACACTGTCATGACTTGTCCAGTCTGGCAACCAAAATGTCACAAAGCTGTCTAATTTCGTTGAGGATACATCAAGCATCAATAAATTTTATATCGAAGGTTTGAGGATGTATCTGCCATACATTCAATGCTGCATACTCCTCTAAACACTCTTTCAACTGGGCTTCACTGTACCCCTGTTCCAAAAGCAGAACTGTGGTGAGAACTTATTTGGGCAAAAATGGAACATTTATAATTATTAGAATAATTTGATCAGCTAAGTTAAAAAATAAAATAAAATATATTTGTCATTTTAAAAAGAGATTTGTTTGGCAAATAGAAAATTTGACATAAATTTCTCAACAAAATAGAAGACTCCAAAGGAAAAACTGCTAACGTGTCCTCTAGGTATCACATTGTCGGAAATTAATTCCATACAGGGTCAAGAAATCATCTGTCTAAATATTAGGAAGCTTAGGGTTCTTCGATCAGTGAAATAAGTACCATATTCTAATAATTGTTTTTACTGTTGAATAATGTACTATGAAATCGTCAAAACTGAGTCCAACCCATCAAGTTTGAAGTGGAAATCATTTTCTACCACACTACAGGGACAGTTCAACTTCAAGAAGAATGAAAAATGAACTCACCTTCCGAGAAATCCAATTCAATGCATCACGATAGTTGACATCCATTTTGTGACTTCTAGCAGCTTCATCACGAAGTATGGAATAAATATCAGATATAGCATCCAGACCTGATCTTTGACGGTCATCAGAGTACAGAGAGAATTTTGACATCTGCATTAACCTCAATGCCTCATCCACGTCACTTTGAGCAACAGTTTCAGCAAAACGGAGTCTTGCTAGGGCCTGTTTAGAAATTACAAATGAAACTCTAATTGCTTAGACAATATAAGAAATAATATTCAGATGCTTGCAGCTTCATGCTGTGGACTTGATAAAATAGTTCTTTAAAGTCAAAACATATCAATGCCTACGTTTAAGTATAAACAATACAATTTGAATGATGTAATGATGAACTGGACACAAGCAGGTAAATTATTAATCCCAAAAAGAAAAGTCAATATAACCCTATATGCCTAATAACTACCCCCTCCCCCTCATTCAATCAGGTAAGATAAAAGAGAATGAAAATAAACACTTACAGCAGATATGCGGAGAATGCTGAGCAATGTTCTGACAGTCGTATAGGAATGTGGAGTGGTGGATTTGGCTTCTTCTTGGCGAATGCTGGAGTAAGCACTGGCAATATACTCTTCCAGTTCCCTTGGGACAGTAGGAGACAATCTTCTAGCAGCTGATATGTATGCACTAGATGAAAGAAACACAATTTAATTTGTAGCAATTTCTATTTAGCAAATGACAACATAGATAGACTCTGAAACTATATGAGCAGTCCGAATAAACATGCAATCTAATCAGCAATACATTTGCAGTAAACTCCAATTATATTGGGTAAAATGAAAAGCAGTTACCATTAGCACAATTCATATTCTATTCTTACCGTAGAACAGATGGTTCAAGAGGAGTGAATCCTAGTGCAGGTGACTCTTTGTTTTGGTGGACATAGACAACATGCCTTGCCATTTCAAGATCGTTATCCATATCAGCTCGATCTAGAATTAACCACAGTAAATCAAACCTTGATAGGAGGGCAGGTGGAAGATTAATATTTTCAGCAGGAGTTCTTCTTAGATCATATCTTCCCCTTCATAGTTAAAATGGATGATATTAGATTTGGAAGCACAAAATGCATGCATCTTGTATCATATCAATAAAGTGAAAATAAATAATACCATGCAGGATTAGCTGCAGCAAGGACAGCAGCCCTTGCATTCAGTGATGTAGTGATCCCAGCCTTGGCAATGCTAACAGTCTGTTGTTCCATAACTTCATGTATAGATGTACGATCTGATTCATCCATTTTGTCAAATTCATCAATGGCACATATGCCCATATCTGATAGCACCTGCAATTCAGAATGTTTGGCCATTATCTTCTACATAACTGCTAGTTTAAAGGACAGATTGTATTGAATTAGAAGCTAGAATAGCAATTTGATGCATGCCATGTTTCCTATCTTTATTTAGTAAGTGGTGGCAGCATATATGCTTTACCTAATTTTTCTAGGTTGTCAACCTAAAGCATAACTTAAGTGCAAAATGGATGGACAGAATTACTAGACTTAAAAACACAACATTACCAATGCTCCACCCTCCAAAACCATCTCATTTGTCACTGGATCTTTCTGAACAGCAGCAGTTAGTCCAACTCCACTACTTCCTTTTCCAGTGGTGTATACACCCCTGGGTGCTACATTGATTATGTGTTTAAGAAGCTGACTCTTGGCAACACCAGGATCCCCCATCAAACATATATGTAGATCTCCTCTAATCTGCAATTAAACAAAATTTATAATATGTAGTTATTTAGTTGTATACAACACAGAGCAAACTAAACAACAGAAACTCAGAGGGAGGGAATAAAACAAGAAAACTCAACAAATCCCTAAATATCATTACAATTTTATAAATGATATCATGTCTTTAACCCTACTAATTCAACATGATTATTTTTATGTAAATCTTAAGCTCCGTTAAACATGTACACTTCAAATAATATGAAGTTTATATTACCTTCATTCCATCTTTCAATTGCCGATGGGGTGCACCAACAAGAAGCAGCAGCAGTGCTTTCTTAATATCTTCATGTCCAAAAATTTCAGGAGCTAATGACCTCGCCAGCTTATCATAGATATCACCGTCTTCTGCTAGACGTTTAATCTGCTCTTCCTCGTCTCCTCTAAGTTCATATCTATGACATAATTAAATTATTAGGAAGCTGCCATGTAACTACATTCTCCCAAACTACTTTAATAATATTAACTAATAGGTGTAAACTTCATTATGCGCAAATAAGTCACAACAATATCCCAGTGGCCACCAATCCAAGCATAAAATGGAATAAAAAGTTCAAGATGCACTGCTGTATTGGAACTTGGAAGTAGGGTAAAAAGTACAGGGGTCGGTTATAAAATAGAAGATCTGCAAAAAGTAACTTACTCTTCATATTTTTTCTTAAAATGAGACACAGACATGGCCTCTAAGTATGTGTCAGCAACTAGGCCAGCACGCATTGCTCTAAAACCAACATAAGGTATAGGAAGAAATATCCCAGATAGTTCAACAACATCACCAGGAGCTACCTGATAATACACAATGAGCAATTTAATAACAGTAGAAGAAATATAGCCAGTTGAACTTCAATATGTACACCAAATCATTGTAATTATTAATAATGATTAGTTCCCTTGTGTTTTATGAGATAACTTTATTAATATGATTGTCAGGTAAGGTAAAACTGTGTTCATATTTAAGGGACGCAACTATGTATTGACATGATTTCATGTACTTGATAACAATTGACACAGTAATGTCAGTTCAATGTCATTGGAAGGAAATAGCAAACCTTTCTAGTGAGTTCTCCCCGAAGATGAACAGTCATTGTTCGTGGAATATGACCCTTTGGAACATGTTCAGCTAACTCTTGAATTTTGGCCTGCAATTAACAGTTTACAAATTCCTTATTCCAAAGTTAATAAGCAATGATGAAGAACATGAAAAATACAGTAATTAAGACTATCATAATTTGATGGACCAAAGTATAGTACAAACCTCTTGAAATCGCAAAAACTTTGACGCTCTCAGTTGAAGGATGACGTTACCCTTGCTCTTGTTCATGACACATCGCCTTGATGGACACTCAAACAAAGGCATGAATATTCTAGCTGTTACTTCCTGTTTAGAGAGGGGAGAAAACATCAAGGTTAAAAAACTCCAAAAGATTCATAACCCTAGCTTAACCCAGCAACAATGATAACAACAAAGTCTTATACCACTAAGTGGATTTGGCTAGCCATACCCGACAGCAGAGAAAAATCCATCCCAAAAATCTAACAAGGTTTAATCTAGTTATAAGGAAATTATAGTAGTAATACTTAAGACATAGTTGGTTAACACCCTGTCACCCAAATCCTAATACCAAAACAGAACACTTTCATTTCTTTTTCTAAATCTTAGTGAGTCTAAATAAAGACGCCCTTGCATTACTCTAATGAACTACCTGGTAAATTTCAAAGCCACAGTCCTCACAGGTGTACACAGCAACCTGCATCAATGGTTTGACATCAGAGCATCTTGTAACTATTCCAGCTAATCTCACAAGCTGGCCAATGTTTGAAGCCTTCACCTCCCTAATTGTAAATGGCCGTCCTTTCGAAGATGCCTTAATATAAACCTCACTGCAAAACAACCCACAAATATATCATTGAGTCTCACATAAAATCCAAAGCCAAAAATCAACCCTAGTGTCATGTAACACAAATTAGCACAATATCATAGATTATTACAGAACCCTAGAATTTGAATAGCCCGTAAAAAATAACAAAGTCTTACAAGAAGCGTTTAATTTCAGCAGGCATCTTCTGGTGCGGGTCAGAACCATCAGCACCTTCAGTCCCTTCATCAGATCTCTGAGTCATCAAAATATCATGATCATCATCCACAAACGTCTCAGTAGGCTCCGGCATAAGCTCGTCAATCGCATCAGCAAAAATCCCTACATATCTTCTCGTATTCTCAGTAACTCGAGTCAGAAACTCCTCATCTAGATCCTTATACTGAAAAGACAAACACAAAAGTTTAAAAAAAATCAACTGTCACTAAAGTATAGAAATGAACAATTACAATACAGAGAAAGGTTGAGAAAACTAACGTTCATTAAGTCGTCAAGATCAATTTCAACAGATCGAGCTTTGTGGTTCGCAACATCTTGCTGAAAAAACGAAAGTGAACAAAAAAAGCACAAATTAGGGTTAACAGTCGGTTTAGATTACATGAGTCGAACTGAAAAATTAACAAAATAACTAACCAGGATGTTGATGTATTTCGCTTCACCATTAGCGTCTGCGAATTCGGAAAGAAATCGACTCGCTAGAACTGAACGAGAAAATGAGGATTTAGGTCAAATTTAACCAAAGATGAAAGAAATGTGAGAAGATGATTAGGGTTTACCTTTGTCTGAGGCAAAATCGACGCCTTTTGTGTTCATTGTTGAGCTTCTCGGAGACGAAGAGAGAGAGAGAGAGAGAGAGAGAGAGAGAGAGAGAGAGAGAGATTGAGATTGTGGCGGAGCGGTGGTAGTGAGTAGTGTATGAGAGTTGGGGTTGGGCGCGAAACTATAAGCGAAAGAGGGAACTTTTTGGCGGGAAAATGTATGCTACGTTCCAGTGTGTTCCGCTAAGGAAAGCCGTTAGATTATAATAAGAGATTGCGAATAATTGTGATTTTTAGGATAACTTTGTTTTACATTTTAAGAAAATAATTTTATTCCATAAATAAAGAGTAATTTGATTTATAGAGGTAAAAGCTAATTTTTTATTTAAGTAAAATAAATAATTAAAAAAACTTTATGAAATATTTTAAAGAAAAATTGTATCTAAGTTACGCAATCTTTGGCATACGTTTAGTATCCTCATTCTATATTTATATGAAATCAAATATATCATTATAAATATATAATATATAAAAGTTTAAATATTTTGAAAAACTATGTATAATCTTCTGACTTTACGATATAACTTTTCTAATTTCATAGATAAAAGTGTTTGATTACATGTTGCTTCAATTATATGTATTAAGTATTTAATACATGAGATGTGTCACTCTTACAATTATTCTTATTATTCTTTATTTTATTTAAATGTTGATGGAAAGACACAATAAACTCGCAATACTTTTTTTTTTAAATTGAACCATTCAAATAATATTAGCTTTTTCACGTTGTATATCTTATTAACTATTCTTTTCATTTTCAATGCAATTATCACTCTACTCAATGCATGGGGAGATGAAAATATTCAAGAGAGATGAAAAGCCAAAAGGTATTGAATTCATACATTAAAAGGTCATTGCTACTATAGTTATTCATCGACTTCAATAACGATTATGTGAAGAATGGAAGGCAGAAGATGATGGTCTTCTGAACCACCATCAACCACTGATTCTTCCCACACAATTCAAACAACATCAACACTCTTCCATTTTTGTTATTCCTATTCATCAAGAGTTTTCTTCTTCTTTTTCAATCTCTTTAAGTACATGAAGAAACCCATACCTAAAATTGATCTTCATTATTTTCCAGTATTCCCAAATTAAAACATTATACATATCTACTTATTTTATCTTTCTTCATTCTGATTTCGTCTATGTGAGTCACAGTTTACGATTTAATCTTTCTTTTTCTCAATTAGTTGTTGCAATCTTCATATTTTGATTTTGATTTTCATTTCATTTTTCAGCATTGCATTGAAATTATGGTAAATTGATTTTCATTTGTTAATTTTCAATCTTTCTCTTTTCATATGTATGTGTGTTATGTTGCCATCATATAATGGAGATGGAACAAAAGGATGAATCTGAGCTCAATAGTGGAACTGATCCATAAAACACGATCACTAGTTGTCGATTTTAAGAAACAAGTTCAAAAGGTACATTGCTTTTTCTTTTTGTTGTTATTTTTGTGTGATATCACTTGGCTTAATATTAGTTATAAATATCCACATGATAATACTTTTGATGGATAATCCTTTGGATTCTACATCTAAATTTTCCATACTATCAATTTATGCGAATAAATTTTAAAACTATATGAATCGATAATTTTATGGATAACTAAGATTTTCTTGAATATCTTAGCTTCGAAGTATTGAAGTATGTTTGAGTCTTGTCGTTTGTAATTTAACATTTGTATGTATATGTCGTTCCTAAAAATAATTACGGAATTGATGAATGTTCCCGGTATCATATGTCATTGTGTTGGTGATGAATCAGTGTGTTGGAAAGTCGGCTGCGTTGAACAACCTCATTGGTACATGGAACGGGAATGGATTTGACATTGAGGAATACTTGAACTATTGCTCTCTATTTTTTTCTCTTTTTTCTCTTAGTTTTTATTTGCAATAAATGGTGATCTGTTGAAAGTTTAGTACTGAACTTGGTACCAATACATCCAGTGACAAGTTTTACAAACTATTTGTAAAAGAACTTAATGAATTGTAACGAACTTAATGTCGATATCATCAGTGTCTTAACTGTAATATTGCCTTAGTTTTTTAGTGTTCCAAGGTCGAGCAAGTTGTTCCCCCTGTAGGTTTTCCAGGTAGTAGGCCCCGTTCCCCATTTTTGCATGAACGCGATAGGGGTCTTCCCAGTTTGTGGCGAGCTTGCCTTAGGGAGAATCTTTTTGATTTCTCTTTAGGACTAGGCTACTGACTTCGAATTCGTGTCGTATGACTATGGTGTCATATCGTATGGCAATTTTTTGTTTGAGAGAGGCTTCTTGTAAGGTCGCTCATGTTCGGATCTCCTCGACAAGGTCGAGCTCTTCCCTCATGCAACATCGTTCATTTCTTCATCGAGGGGGGCTTCAGTCTGTTTGGAGGGCTCTCTGATTTCAACGGGAATGACGGCCTCACTTATGTATACTAATCAGAAGGGGGTCTCCTCAGTTGATGAGTGAGATGTTATCTGATAGGCCCAAAGTATGATGTGTAGCTCCTCGACCCATCTCTTATTGGTCTCGTCCAACCTTTGCCTGAGGCCTCGTAGGATTACCCTGTTTGCAAACTCGGCTTGCCCGTTTGTCTGTGGGTGTTCGACGGAGGAGAAGTGTTGGATGGTGCCCAACTTGGTAACGAATTCCTGGAATTTTTTGTCCGTGAATTGCATCCCGTTGTCGATGACAGTCTCTTGTAGAATGTCGAACCGAGCAAGAATGTTCCTTTTGTAGAAATGGAGAATGTTTTGCATCGTGATTTTGGTCAACGCTTCAGCTTCTATCCATTTTGTGAAGTAATCCACGACCACTATCAAATATTTGTTATGGCTTGATCCTACCACAAATGGTCTGAGGAGGTCCATGCCCCACCATGCGAAGGGCCAGGGGCAAGAGAGATATTTGAGCTCCTTTGGAGGTGCTATATGCATGTCTCCATGGCGTTGGCACTTGTCGCACTTCTTCACGTGTTCTTTGGTGTTGTGTCGCATGGTGTGCCAGTAATATCCTACTTGTAATGTTTTTCTGGCAAGGGATTTCCCACACAGGTGTTGGTCGTTGATTCCTTCGTGGATTTCACGAAAGACGTGGGCTACTTTGTGTTGATCGACACATTTGAGGAGGGGGTGGAAAATCCCCTGCTGTATAATATATCTTCGACCAACATGTAGGAGTAGACTCTTCGCCTAACCATGCTAGCCTCTTTCTTATCGGTCGGTAATTCTCCTTTTGTGAGGTAATTGTATACCGGGGTCATCCAGCAGTCGCAATCTCCTATGGCGTACACGTCTAGAGTCGAGGAGGGTTTTTTAATGCTTGGTCGGGGAAGAATTTCCTGTATTACCGATTTGTTTCCTCATTTCTTCTTTGTGCTTGCTAGGTTTGACAGGATATCTGCATGAGTGTTATATTCGCGAGGAACATGGTGTACGTCTACGGACTCGAATTTCTTCATTCTTTCTTGGACCAAAGTCAAATATTCAGCAAAATGATCGTTTTTGACCTAATATTCTCCTCGTACCTTAGATTCCACAAGTTGGGAGTTTATGAAGATCTTTATTTCTTCGGCCTCTGGATCTTCGGCCAAGTGCAACCCTATTAGAAATGCTTCACACTCGGATTGGTTGTTCGATATTGGGAAAGACAATGTGAGGGATACTTTGATCAGAATTCCCTCCTTGTCTTCCAAGATAACGCTTGTTTTGCTTCCTGTCGAACTAGAAGCTTTGTTGATGAAGATGGTCTACTTGCGCGTCCCGCTCGGGGAGATTGGTGAAGTCATCTCAGCCATGAAGTCGGCCAGTACTTAAGCCTTGAGGGCTTTCTTGTTTTCGTATTTGATATCGAACTCGGAGAGCTCTAACAAGCATTTAAGCATCATGCCGGACATGTCGGGTCGCGCCGAGAAACTGCTTTATGGGTTGCTCTGTTCGGGCAGTAATTGTGTGGGCCGAGAAATAACGTCTCAACCTCTTTTACGTGTTTATGAGTGATAAGGCTACCTTCTCTATTTATTGGTACCTCACCTCAGAGAATTATAAGGCTTTGCTCGTGAAGTATATGGGTTTCTGGCCTTTCGGGGTTTCTTGGATGAGGGTAACGCTCACGACCTCAGATGCCACTGCCAGATAGATATATAGGGTCTCTTCCTTCTCTGGTCGGGAAAGGACTGGTGGTTGAGATAGTTCCAGATTCAGGTGGATGAGGGTGTGTTCACACTACTCGGTCCACTCGAAGGGTGCTTCTTTGCGGAAAAGTTTGAAGAGAGGAAGTGCGTGTTGGGCAAATTTTTCCATGAAACGAGATAACAAGGTCAGCATTCCATTTAGGATTTGAATGGATTTATTCGAGTTTGGAGTTGGAAACTCAGAAAATGCCTGACACTTGTCGGGGTTGGCTTTGGTTCCTCGTTCTGTTAAGTAGAAACTGAGAAATTTGCTCGCCTGCATGTCGAAGGTGTACTTTTCTGGGTTGAATCACATCCTCCATTTCCTTGACTGCTTAAATACTTTCTTTAGGTGGAGAGCATGGTCTATCTCTTCTTTGGATTTCATGATCATGTCGTCCATATAGACCTCGAGCATGTCTCCTATATCCCGTTGGAAAACTTTGTTCATTATTCGTTGGTATGTAGCGGCGACGTTCTTTAGACCGAAGGGTATTACGTTGTAGTAATAGTTGCCTGAATCAATCATGAAGGCCATGTACTTTTTGTCAGTTTTGGCCGTGGGGATCTGGTTGTATCCAGAATATGCATCCATGGATGAAATCAGTTTAAAACTTGCAGAGTTATCAACTAATTTGTCAATATTGAGGATGGGATAAGCATCTTTTGGGTAAGCCCGATTGAGATCGATATAATTAATGCATACGCGCCATTTTCCATAATTCTTTTTCACAAGGACTACATTTGAAATCCAGGTTGTGTATTAGGCTTCAGAAATAAAATTTGCCTTTAGGAGGTCTTTCACGGCCTGTTCGGCAGCCTCTATTTT